CAGCAGGACACTGAAATTTGTTCTTTACACTGCAGTATGGAGAACACCTTGCTGCAAATAAAAGTGGATGTCCAAATAAGGCAGTGCTAAGCTTTACCTAATTTGTTGCACATAACTGTTCTTAGATTTAGAAAGAAAAATCCTTATTAACATCGGTGAGATGTGCAATAGTTCTAGACAGAAAGATCTTATTTTTTGTTTCATATTGCACTGTATGATACTGTCTTGATTTTTTTTGGTGAACATAATGCTGAAAGACTTCTTTCAACAGGAGAAAAAAAATACTGTCAGACCTAGGTAAGAGCTGATGAGACACAGTTGCACTTTGCTGCATGAGGAACGTATAAAGCATTCCTTATCAAATGATAAGAATAACGTATATCTTCTTGTAGCACAAGTGCCATGTTCTTGGTTTTTCCCCAGTACATGTAATAAAAAGCTGTAAGCCTTCAAGGTCACTTTTTATAAAACATGCTTAGAGTTGCAGGAACATCTGGAATTCCATCGTTTGAAAAATCTTCTCAATATGTAAATGCCTTGCCACCAGTACACTACATTTACTGAAAATGAGTTGAGGCTCTTTAAGTCTTTTTATGGAAATCGATTTTGCAACCAGAATTTACTAGCTCTGAAGTAAGAGACTCTGCTAATCCTGTATCCTAGCGTCAATTCCTTAAAGCATTTTTTCAAAGCAGTATCTGTTTACAGCTTGTAATCTGATCTCCGTGTTCCATACCCTGTGTAATATTTATTTTGTATAGTACTAAATGTGCATTCACCTTTTGATCCAGAAGAGAAAACTTGTTTGAAGAGAAATATTTATTTTTGCACTAGTTACTATAAATACTAAAATCCAGTGGAACAGAAGATATATCTCTAATAGTGGCATGAAAATAACAGGAAATGTAGAAGAATATGCTTATACTCCAAGTTATAACAGTTATGAGTGTTTTACAGTTCCTTGCAGGGTGTTTCTGATGGTCAGGAACGGAAGCAATTTTCAGAGTATCTGCCCATCAGCTGGTGATGGCCCAGCCCTTCATAGCTGGAGTTGCTCAGTGCTGATGAAGTGAGTGAGGAATGTCAGGCCCTCTCTGCACGATGTCCGTAGGTGCACAGAGGGATCGGTATCCGCAGCTCTCCTCATGCGCTGGAGCGGCCCTGCGTTGGCTGAAGGAGGCAATCTCCTCCCGCCCTTTCTGCTGGAGTTGCGAATTTCTGTGCAGAAGTTCACTGCATCTGGCTCCTGGCACAGGAGAGAAGGGGGAGCAGCGCCTGGGCAGGACTAACGGAGCCTGCTGCGCTGGCACTGCTGCTGCAGCAGGA